TTGTAGAACAGGAAATGAAAAAGGACTGGCTCTTCGCCCCCCATTACCGGTACTACGTGCGGGAGATGAGGATCCACGCGTACAGCCAGCTGCTGGAGTCCTACCGCTCGCTGACCCTCGGCTACATGGCGGAGGCGTTCGGAGTCGGGGTGGAGTTCATTGATCAGTGAGTTCGAACACCGCCGTGACAATTTTTGTTTTAAAGTTGCCTTTTAATATGTGAATGTGCATTTTTTAACCCATTTGCAATGTCTTTCTCAATTTTAAGAAGGAAAAAACAATTTTTTTCTAAATATTCTCAAAGCAATCATCTCTGCCTTCCCTATGTTCTGCATCTTCCATTAATAGACGGGAAAGCTGAGCTGTCATGAGGTTGAGTGATCTGTTAAAGATCATTAGACCAGCTATCAAAAGTAGTCTTCTTATGGTATAATGTTTAGAGGCAAAAACAACAACAACAAAACCCACTTCTTTTTGGACCACACTGCAGCTACAGTAATGACTTGGATCTCTTGTATTTTACAGTTGGTCATATTTCCTCTGACAGTTACTTCCAATTTTTAGGCTGCTGCAATTCAGGTCAAATTGGTTGTTAAACGTTGGACATTTTAGCACTTAAATCCGTACTTCAACGAATAGTTGATAAGCCATTACTATATGTATGGCATTAAGTCCCCATCTTGGGGGACTTTCATGGAAGTAGTAGGAGGTGGCAAGTAGACATATAAAGGGCCATTTCAGATAGAAATGAATCTTTAGGAAAATGCTGTAGTGCCATGAAGAGACTATTAGATGTGGCGTGTCTGAGGAGAGGTCTACTCTGAGATTTGAATTGGGAGGAGTCAACATAAGGAGTCCTCTAAATGCAAAAGGAGTAGTAGAAAGTGTGAGGAACAAGCTTGGCTGTTGCAGGGATACAAAATGTCAGTGCGGATGTTGGAGATCAGGCTTGTGTAGGGCCTTGCTGGACAGAGTATGGCGCTCGGCGGGTTTAGTCTAGGAGCTGTGGGAAGCCGTGGGAGCGACAAGGTCTCGTTTACACACAGCAAGTTGGCAGAGAGACCAAGTGGTTCGTGGAGGAGATGTTACAGCAGCTTGGCCAGAGGTGCTGGGAGTGGAGTTGGGGAAAGGACACATTCACAGTATGTAATTTCCCAAATTTAAGTCTTTTAAATGTTGATGATGATGTTTTTAGTGGTCTATAATGAAACAAGTGATGGCTATATAGTAATTTTAAATGACGCTGCAATTCATTTAAATAAGACCATTCTCTTTTTGGTGGTTTTGTTTCTTCTAACATTTTATTATGAAACATTTCAAACAAGCAGAAAGTTCTAAAGAACCGTATAGTAAATTTTAACATTTTATTATATTTGCTTTTCACGTATCTATCCATCTTATTTTTTTTGCCACTTCATAGCAAGTTTCAGACACCAACGCACAAATATAGACGGTTTGTTTCATTGCTAGGGTGGGGGCTGGGCCCTATTTCATGAGTCAATAGTTGTGAGCAGGCGTGTGACACAGGGCGTGGCCTGGCCTCCTGCTCTTAGCTGTTAGGTGAGGTGATCAAGCCGTCGTGAGGCTCAAATGAAACTGTGGATGAGGAGACAGAACACACTGCGGTGTTCTTCAGGTGCTCTTGACGATAAATGGATTCAGGGCAGCTGGGACGCTCCAGGAGTGGTTGAATTGTTCGGTGGTGGTTTTCCTTCGTGTTCTAAGACTAGCCCTAGAGGCAAAGGTGGTGCCATTGAGTGCTACTTGCTACCTAGAAAGAGCCTGTCCTACCTTTCTAGGAAACCTAGGAATTTCAAGTCTGGGTTTTCATGGATTCAGAACTTAATTGTAATTCCCTTTTTAAAAATGGGCTACACACTAATTCTCTATCATTCTTGCCTCCCAGTTCCTTGGGCTCAGTAAGATATTGTTGGAGAGGGAAAGGGCCATCATTTCAGTAAACACTGCTGCTGCGGACGTGTTTACATCACCACGGGCCGTGTTCCATAATTTTGTTTCAGGTCTTTTGTTTGAAATAGTTTCATCAGTTTTTTTCCCTAATAAATCTTATTTTCCCTCTTAACGTTCTTCTCTGAGCATGTCTGTAGCTGTAATGACTTTTGCCACCTACGGGGACTTCCAGGGGCCTGTTTACTGTGGAAGGCGGCTTGGATCCTGCAGTGAGCGCACCAGGGCGCTCCCAACTACGGCGAAGGCCGTCGCCCTGGCTTAAAACCAGATGTTACCTTGAAGGACGATCGTAGTGCAGCTTCTATAAGGCTAATGTTTTTTTTTCTTTTCCTCCTCTAACTTAGGGAACTCTCCAGATTTATTGCTGCTGGGAGACTACACTGCAAAATAGATAAAGTGAATGAAATAGTGGAAACCAACAGGTATCTTTACTTTGTGTACGCTTTGTTACACCACTCAGAATGAGGGGCATCTTCCGTGCCTCCCTTACAAGTCTTACAAGTAGGGCGGCTATCGATGGAGTACTGTGACTGGGTAAATAATTTATTTTTTTTCTTGACTTTTACAGACCTGATAGCAAGAACTGGCAGTACCAAGAAACTATCAAGAAAGGAGATCTGCTACTAAACAGAGTTCAGAAACTTTCCAGAGTAATTAATATGTAAAGCCATATAACAAAGGATTTCCTTTAGAGAGAATTATTTGGAATTTGTATGGCTTACTTCACAATGTGCGCAGTTCAGCTGTATAAAATAAATACTGCATTGTTTCTCTTAATTTGCTTTTTTAAAAACATATATGTCTTTAAGGATGGGGTCCAGTAATGTTAATGTGGCTCAGGCCTGTCATCCTAGCACTCTGGGAGGACGAGGCGGGTGGATTGCTCAAGGTCAGGAATTCGAAACCAGCCTGAACGACACCCTGTCTCTACTACAAATAGAAACTAATTGATCAACTAAAAATATATACACAAAAAATTAGCCTGGCGTGGTGGCACATGCCTGTAGTCCCAACTACTCGGGAGGCTGAGGCAGGAGGATCGCTTGAGCCCAGGAGTCTGAGGTTGCTGCGAGCTAGGCTGACGCCACGGCACTCACTCTAGCCTGGGCAACAAAGCGAGACTCTGTCTCAAAAAAAAAAAAAGTCACTTCAGTTATTCATATTTGATGCCATTTGAGCATCTCTAGGGTATAATGATTACAGAGAGACTTTGGTACCTGGGTTCACATCCTGACTCACAGGGATAACGACGCAATCCCATTGTCTCCTACCTTTTTACACCTCCTGATTTTATTTTTTATTTTTATTTACTTTTTGAGACAGAGTCTCTGTTCCCTGGGCTAGAGTGCCGTGGCGTCAGCCTAGCTCACAGTAACCTCAATCTCCTGGGCTCAAGCGATCCTCCTGCCTCAGCCTCCCAAGTAGCTGGGACTACAGGCATGTGCCACCATGCCCGGCTGATTTTTTCTATGTATATTAGTTGGCCAATTAATTTCTTTCTATTTATACTAGAGACGGGGGTCTCAATCTTGCTCAGGCTGGTTTCGAACTTCTGACCTCGAGCGATACTCCCGGCTCTGCCTCCAAGAGTGCTAGGGTTACAGGCGTGAGCCACCGCCCCCGGCCTAAGCCTCCTGATTTTAGAAAGAAGAGGACATGTTACATACTAGCTCACAGTGAAATAGTTACCCACTTAAAATACAGAAGATATATAACATGTAAGCTAAGCTTTCCCTCAGAAACAAGTAGCCATGTGAGATAGGAAATTGCCCTTTTTAGGAAGCTGGCATCATCTGGATTCCAGCATCTACCAGGGCCAATCTTACTAAACATGGATTTTTAAGAACCCTACATAAATTAGCACACTGCATCTTTTTTCCAAAAATAAGATCATAGTAATAGCAATGAGGAAAACAATGTTCCTTGTCTCTCAGTTACAAACTTGGTGAGTTAGAGATAAATGCTATTAAAGGGGACAGATGAAATCAAGTGTGAAGGCTTCTCTGGTAAGGTGACATTTAGGTAAAAAGAAGGGCGAGACCATGTAAATATCTAGAACATGGAAAGTGAAAGTTGTAAGCAGAGGAATGACTTGACTTACCTTTTAAGTGTCACTAAGGCACTCAGCTGGAGGGACACCAGATGATGTGGGCATGAATTGGTAGCAGCAGCTGGATCTGCTAAAAGATTAGAGTCGGAGAGGCGAGAAAGTTAGTGGAGGCAGATCCCAGACTTTTTGACTAAAGTATAAGAGATGGCTGGTTGGCCTGGTGCAGTGGCTCAGCCTGTCATCCTAGCACTCTGGGAGGCTGAGGCGGGAGGATCCTTTGAGCTCAGGAGTTCAAAAGAGCAAAACCCCATAATTAGCCGGGCATGGTGGCGCATGCCTGTAGTCCCAGCTACTCGGGAGGCTGAGGCAGGAGGATCGCTTGAGCCCAGGAGTCTGAGGTTGCTGTGAGCTAGGCTGATGCCACGGCACTCACTCTAGCCCTGGCAACGCAGTGAGACTCTGTTTCAAAAAAAAAGATGGCTGGTGACCTTGATGAGCAGTTTTGGCAAGCAAGTTAAAGAGAATGGGAAATGGCATTTTAAAGGTTGGGGAACAAAAGAATAATTTGTTTTTTTAAGAGCATGTTCATTTGCTGATTGGAATGATCCATTAACAGAGGAGAAAACACATGATCTCATATGAAAAAAATTTGATATAATTCAACATTTCTTCGTGATAAGTAACTTCAGTAAACTATGACTAACAAAACATTGGGAAATCAAAGCCCTATTGCAAATAAGATATTCAATGGCAAAATGTTGGAAGCATTACCTTAGAAGTCAAGGCAGAAACTGTCATCAATATCACACTGGAAGGACAAGGATTGCTTATGGGCCAAGGAAAGCAATGAGGCCAGAGCTCTGCTTTGAAGGCAGTTTCCTGTAGGCACCATAGGCTGGATGGGAGGCTTTAAAAATGCTAAGTATGCCCAGCAGGGCTGGGGAACCTGTGGCCTTCTGGATCCTTCAGTGTGGCCTTCTGACTGAACCCAAATTTTACACAACAAATCCTTTCAAACCATTTGAGAATAGCCACCTATGGATTTCTAAAAAGTGCTTATGTATAAAATCCTGTATCACTATAATTTCTTGAAGAAAAACAGCTCTTTCAAAAGTGTTGGTTTTCTGCAGAAAACCTAAGCTAGTCAGGAAGGCACAGCTGGCTTCTGGATGATACAAAGTTGCAAACTGGTCATCCACAGGTTGCAAGTGGACCCTCCCAAGTATGTTTTCACGAAAAAAAAAAAATACATAGTCACCATGGAAAAGCTGAGAGAGAATTGTAAAAATCACAGGTCTAGCTTCTCTGGAAAAAGGAAGAGATGAGGCTAAGTTTAGACTCACGCTCCATCAAGCCAAGTGGCAAGCACGTGCTGTCCCCGCCAGCGTGCCCAGCTCGCCAGCCCGGCTCCCGCTGGCACTGTCATCCTGCACCACCCCCAGCGCTGGACATGTGAGACTGGTGGTCAACCAGCCGCCTCTGTCTCCAGCTAGGAGAACTATCCGGAAAATTCTCAACCTTCATCCTACCTTCGTGTCTTCAATTTATATAGCTGGTTTTCTTGAAAGTCTTAATTTTCTGGTTTCGGTCAAGAAGGGTACTGTACAACATAAACATAAGATTATTGTCAAATGATAACAGATTTATTTGCTAAGTGACATAGAGCGAAAACAACTATATTTTGTTCCTCTTTAATACTGGTGCATGTTTTCTTTTGAAGTTGGAAACAATCTTTCTGTTTTTGAGACAAAATGTCACTCTTGTTGCCCTGGCTACACTGCCTTGGCGTCAGCCTAGCTCACAGCAACCTCCAACTCCTGGGCTGAAGCGATCCTCCTGCCTCAGCCTCCCGAGTAGCTGGGACTACAGACATGCGCCACCATGCCCGGCTAATTTTTTTTTCTATATATTTTTAGTTGGCCAATTAATTTCTTTCTATTTTTAGTACAGACGGGGTCTTGCTCTTGCTCAGGCTGGTCTCAAACTCTTGAGCTCAAACGATCGCCCACTTCAGCCTCCCAGAATGCTCGGATTACAGGCGTGGGCCATCACGCACCTGGCTGGAAACGATCTTATTTTTACCAACCAATCTTGTTTTTATCAACCCTGGTCTTACTCGCAGGACACTAGTGAAACCACCCTGTACCAATCAACAAAGGGGTGCACGGCGAGAACTGGGATAAGGGCCTAAAACTCTGCGAAGGCTCAGGCCTGGCTAAAAATAATCACAATCAGCCACTGTCCCTGTTTACTTATCTACACTTGCCACTCTGCAGTCACACAGCTGGTGGTCATAAAGATTCTTAACTCTGTCTGTAGATAAGATCACCTTTTGGAAACCTAAAGGTAGTTTCTGAGATTATCTTCCAGGCCCGCATTCCAGTGGACTGGCTGACCCACCCAGGCCAGCAGCCCATACAAAGAACCCAACTCAACTGGAATTGTGACCCCAACCCAGGAACTGACTCAACACAAGAAGATGATTTCTACACCCCTACAGTTTTGCCCCAGACCTAACCAATTCTCAGGGAGGCAGATTCGAGAAATTCCTCCCGTCTCCCTGCTTAGCACTCTGCAGAATTAAACCCTTTCTCCATGGCAACCCCGACTGCCTCAGTGATTGGCTCCTCTCTGTGCAGCTGGCAATATAACCCAGTTGGGTGACAACACTAGTATGAAATGGAATCACCAAGATGAACTATGTTTTGTGATTATTATTATTATTTGAGACAGAGTCTCACTTTGTTGCCTGGGCTAGGGTGCTGTGACATCAGCCTAGCTCACAGCAACCTCAAAGTCCTGGGCTCAAGTGATCCTCTATAGGCATGTGCCACCATGCCCAGATGATTTTTTTCTGTATATTTTTAGTTGGCCAATTAATTTTCTATTTTTAGTAGAGACGGGGTCTCACTCTTGCTCAGGCTGGTTTCGAACTCCTGACCTTGAGCGATCTGCCCTCCTCGGCCTCCCAGAGTGCTAGGATTACATGTGTGAGCCACCGTGCCTGGCCTGTGATTATTTTTTAAAGCAAAGTTTCTCTTACCCCAATAAAATCTGATTATATATCAAGTGTATCTATCCAGTAAGAGAGGTAAATACTTAAAAGCTATATAAAACTATGGTAATCTATTTCCTGTATTAAAAATAACAGCTCAGGCCGGGTGCGGTGGCTCACACCTGTAATCCTAGCACTCTGGGAGGCCGAGGCGGGAGGATTGCTCAAGGTCAGGAGTTCGAAACCAGCCTGAGCAAGACGCCGTCTCTTACTAAAAATAGAAAGAAATTAATTGCCCAGCTAAAAATATATAGAAAAAAAAATTAGCTGGGCATGGTGGTGCATGCTTATAGTCCCAGCTACTCGGGAGGCTGAGGCAGGAGGATTGCTGGAGCCCAGGAGTTTGAGGTTGCTGTGAGCGAGGCTGACGCCACGGCACTCATTCTAGCCTGGGCAACAAAGCGAGACTCTGTCTCAAAAAAAAAAAAAAAAGAAATAACAGCTTCGGATCAGTTTTTAACTTATTAACCAACACTGTCTTTCATGAATAGAAACAGTCTAGCTGGGTGTGGTGGCTTGTGCCTTTAGTCCCAGCTACTGGTAGTCTGAGGTGAGCAGATCTTGAGGCCGGGAGTTTGAGACCAGGCTGGGCAATATGGTGAGATCCTCTCTTAAAAAAAAAAAAAGTTTTTTTAGTGAGGAAAAAAAAATTACTCACCCATGGTGACACGT